GTGCAATGCCAAAAATAAATGTATCGACAGGCAGTAGGATAGTTAGTTTAACCTCTTTATAGATCAAAATGAACGTGGGTGTGTCTTTATACATCCCGTTTGAAAAGAATACACATTTGGTTATGTTTTAATTTGCTGATGACAAAATCGATATTTAATGTAAACTATAATCAAAGATCTAATTACAACATTGGTAAGATAACTTTTACTAATAAGTTTGTTTAAAGGTTCGATGAGTTTACACGGATCACATAGTGATTTCCGCGCTTTAAGTACAATATTACCGTAAAATTTAGGATGTGAAATACCCTTTTTAATCAGTTTTCTACAGGTACAGCCAAATTTACTAATCAAATCTTTGTATCTATGAAAGAATTTAGTAAAAGTTTTAGGTAATTTATGGTAACGAAATCCCTGACTTAATAATTTACCAGTGATGCATTACGTTCGTTAAAATCTATGACATCACTACACACACGGGTATAACGAACGAGTTGGGATATATAAACACCGTATGATGGAGCCAAAGGAACATCGCCGTCTAAAAAAGGAAAATTAACAATAGGGAATGAAAAGTCGTCTCTTTTGTCGTAAATTTTCGTATGGAGTTTTCCTTTACAGATTGAAATGTCCAAATATAGAAAAGGACAACTACTGCTGTTTATGTTAGATTTAGTTAAAGTATGTTCTATTGGGTAAATTTCGGTAGTATATTTAGAGAACTCTGGATTATTTAACGAAAAAATATCATCTAGATAACGGAAGGTATTGTTGAATGTATCAACCAAATGTAACAATGACGTGTCTTTACTGAGTTTGGTCATAAACTGAGATTCATAGCAAAACAGGAATAAATCTGCTATTAAAGGGGCGCAGTTAGTGCCCATAGGAATACCTACTACTTGTCGATACACTTTATCGCCGAAACCTACATATATGTTGTCAAGGAGAAAATTTAAAGCTTCAATCATATCTTCACATTTCCAGTAAGTGTATCTAGCATTCTTTCCTTTTTCGTTACAGACTTTAAACGAGTTACAGCAAATAATTTTGTAATGAGATTTTTCAAAAGACCATTTGATTAAATATGAAAACATTTTCATGATAAGATTGTGTGGAAGTGTAGTATAGAGAGTAGAAAAATCATAACTGTCAACAGAATTAAAAGGACCATCAAAAGCATGTATTTTATCTAAAACCTCTAAAGAATTTTTAACACTCCAAAAATTATTAATACCATTATTTTTCATAATTGGTCTGCTTACCCGTGATATCATGATCAATTTTATGTTAAGAATTAAGAGCCACTGTGGATTGTCAACAGGGTCCGGGAAATTACAACTTTCAGTATCCCTTTATGTCATGTGTCCTTTCCAACCATAGTTATCCTTTGTCTGATAGATGATATAGTGAAATTTGGTCAAAATCAAGCCAGCGTTTACTCATTTTTTTATTTCAGTTTTGGCTTGAAATAAGGATAGTGATCCGGCGGCGGCGGCGTTAACTAACTTCTTAAAAGCTTAATACTTCAGAAGGTAGAAGACCTGGATGCTTCTTACTTGGTTTATAGATGCCTTATGATATGACATTTCCGTCTGTCATGTGTCCATTGTCCTTGACCTCATTTATATGGTTCAGTGACTAGTTGAAAAAAAAGTTTAGATTTTTTTGTAATGATAATTTTTCTCTTATTATGAGTAATAGGATTACTATATTTGGTATGTACGTACCTTGCAAGGTCCTTATGCCTGTCAGACAGTTTTCACTTGACCTCGACCTCATTTTATGGATCAGTGAACAAAGTTAAGTTTTCGTGGTCAAGTCCATATCTAAGATACTATAACCAATATGTCTACTATATTGTAAGGTGTACATGTCCAACTGACAGGTGCCATCTGACCTTGACCTGATTTTCATGGTTCAGTGGTAAAAGTTAAGTTTTTGTGTCTTGGTCTGTTTTTCTAATACTGTTTGCAATAGGTCAACTATATTTAGCGTATGGAAATATTTTACGATGTACATGTCAGTCTGGCAGGTTTTATTTGACCGTGACCTTATTTTCACGGTTCATTGATCAATGTTACGTCTAAATATAAAGTTTTACTACAAGTATCACATTTTATATTGACCAATGAACCATGAAAATGAGGTGACGGTCAGATGATACCTGCCAGATAAACATATACACCTTACAATCATTCCATACACCAAATATAATTGACGTATTGCTTAAAGTTTAAGAAAAACAGACCAAAACACAAACACTTAACACTGAGCAATGAACCGTGAAAATGAGGTCAAGGTCAAATAAAACCTGACAGACTGCCATTTACATAGTAAAATATTTCCATACACCAAATATAGTTGACCTATTGCATACAGTATTAGAAAAACAGAACAAAACACAATAACGAGGACTATCAACATAAATTCAATGGTGAGTATAGAAGGCGAGACATTTCAGCATGTGCATTCTGGTTTTTAACGAGGATGAAAAAGAACATAGATAGGTATAAGAAGATGTGGTATGAGTGCCAATGAGACAACTCTCCATCCAAGTCACAATTTGTAAAAGTAAACCATTATAGGTCAAAGTTCGGCCTTCAACACGGAGCCTTTGCTCACACTGAACAGCAAGCTATAAAGGGCCCCAAAAATGACTAGTGTAAAACATATGACCTTTTTGGGATACGAGAACATTAATACATGAAGACTCCGACATGATATACTGACCAATAAAAATGACATTGTGTAGATCAAATGACATTTCTGCTTATGACCTTACAAGATCTGCATGGAGGTTTATGTTTTAGAAAAACTTTTATAAGGATTTGTAAAAAAAATCAAAGTAAGTATTCTCATTTGCTTCTTGTGTTCTGGCTTTTTTCTTTTTAATGTTTAAAAATGTTAAAAATACCAAGTTATGGTAGGATGAAAGTATCGTCAAGGTTAGTTAATAACAGTCATCACATGTAGTCTCTGAAGGAATTCACATTCTGCTGACCTGAGATGTATATATGTGTACTACAATAAAGACTAGAAAATAACATCCTGTATGAATGACAACATGAACATGTCAGTTGATACCTGTGATACTTTACTCAATCAATTTGCAATTACTCCACCTAAACCATGATCATAACAATGTTTTCACTTTTCATTCTAAAGTTTTACAATAAACAATCTCGAGGTCCTCTTCCAGCCAGGTGTATGTCATATGACGTTTTGAAGAATGATCATCGTGAGTAGAATATAACCACTGGATCGTTTTATGAACTCCTGTATCAGACACAATAAAGTTTCAATTTTTATAAGTTCTCAGTTGTGCACCATTTTATATACTTAAAACTGGGTTCATGGCCGTACAGTGATCTGTAATTGTTCACATCTTGTCCATTTGGACTTTATGGATAGTTGTATCGTTGGCTATCATCCCAGATATTAATATTTTCATGCTGACCTTGCAGAAAGACATTTCAACCTTATTCAGCACACATCCTTAATTGGTTTGCAATAATACACGGATACATGTTTGTATTACTTTACCAAGTATCATTAATATCCTTCCTTCAGTAAAAATCATCATTAAAGGAGAATAACTCTATCAAGAGTAAACTGACAATTTCAGTCATGTTTGACATATTTGTAGATCTTATCCTGCTGATAATTTTTCCTTTTTAAAGTTTCTATTTATCTATTGTAGTTTTCAAGATAACAGGCAAAAAATGCATAAAACTGTTAAAAATTATCATTTAAGGGCAATAACTCAAATAACGAGTCAACTGTACATTTCGGCCATTATGGTTTATTTGTAGATCTTGTCTTGCTGATCATTTTTGCATTTTAAAGTGTCTGTCTATCTATTGTAGTTTTAAAGATATTAGGCAAAAAAGGAATTGATTGGTTAAAATCATCATTAAAAAGTAATAACTCTAATAAGGAGTCGACTGAAGATTTAGGCTATGTTGACTTACTTGTAGATTCTGATGAGCTGATAAACAAAACAACGTCAGCCAATCAGAAGACGCGTTACATCCAAAATTAAATTATAAGGCAATAACACAAAAAATTGGTATAAATCGTCATTAAAGGGCAATAGCTCTAATAAGGAGTCATTTGACAATATTTGTTATGTTGACTTATTTGTAGATCTGGTCTTGCTGATCATTTTTACTTTTTAAAGTTTCTGTCTATTTATTATAATTTTCGAGATAAAAGGCAAAAAATTTTAAAAATGGTAAAATTCTTCATGCAAGGTCAATTACTCCTATGAGAAGTCGTCTGACAGTTTTGACTTAAAATGAACAATAGGTAGAGCTCAACATTCTGAACATATTTGCCCCTGTAAGATTTTCTCTATATATAGTGATTTTCAAAATAAATGGCAAAACTTGCATTTTACCCCTGTGGGTAAACCAGTTACCCATTTGGTGATACAGGCACAACATGTGGTGGGGATAAATCAGTTACCCATTTGAGTATGTGGGGATAAACCAGTTACCCCTTTGAGTATGTGGGGATAAACCAGTTACCCCTTTGAGTATGTGGGGATAAACCAGTTACCCCTTTGACTATGTTAAGTTGACATTCTTGGTAAGTTTGTGACCTCAATCTTGCAAACAGACATTCCAACCTTGTTTGTGAAACATTCTCTTGTGGTGGGCAATAATAATACCATATATCATTAATATCCTTCAAGGTATTCAAAAGTTCTGCAATGGACAAAACTTGCAAATACAGGCCGACAATATAATGGTTTACCAAGGACATGAAGTAGCCAGAAAGGTACAAATGATGAAAAGATCACTTGGCACTTAGACATGTTTCATGAAATTCTCTTAAATTGTAGTACTATCAACAGATACTCTAACACAGATGTTTGACTATGTAAAAGGAATTTAGGTAGATTCAATTCACAGGAAGGCATACAGGTGATAATAATCTTCAACTTTGGGGTTTAAATTAAAAACCGACCTTTATTTGAACTGAAAGAATGAAAAGTATTTTGATTTTTTTATTTCTCTTGTTTACAGTTATAATAATAAAACAAGTAATAAACAATAGAAAACATTGTTTAAAAGCAAAATAACAACAAATTTATAAAAACTTGTTATATGGATGTGAAGTAAAATTAAACTTCAGATTTTCTTTAATATTTTTCAAAAGTGAACTTTAAATGTTTATCCTAGTGACATCAATTATCTAACATGAGACAGAGGATCATTATAGCAATTTCAAGAAACTTTTTTTAGAAGCATGAACCTGACTTGGGAACTTGGACTTGAAGCAAGTTATTTTCCTTGCTGAGCAGCCATACTGGTTTACACATGGCAAAACTGTAATAAGAAGAAACAGAAAACCACTGTAAGCTTTTAAAATATGCATTTTCCATCTTATAAAAAAACAGACTTTTCCAGGTTTATAATCCAGATATATTTGAGGCAAATAGATCATGTTAAGTAGCTCTGAAAGTCATTTAAACTAAAATATTACATATATTAATATTTACAGTGTTTAAAACACTTTCCTGCAAGAAAAATAGTGCTCCTAATTTTAGTCAGGTTCATGATTTCAAAAATAAGTTTTGTAAAGATTTTGAAATTTGTTTTCTAGAATACCCATTATATTGAAATCTGTTCTATTTGTGAACATTTTTGAATACCTGGGGGATCCAGAGAATACAATTAACATCATAGTAACTCAAAATGTGTTCTTGTAGTAACTAGTGTTCTAAAGGGGACATTATATTTTACTAACATTTCAGATATCTATGTTATTAGACAAAACAGGAATGTGTGTACAAATATCTGAATGACTAATCAAATATCTGTTCTTTCCAACTTAAAACTTCATATAAATATAGTCAATTAAAATATAACAGTCATTTAATCATTTTGATACCAATTTTCAAGTTAAAGAAAAAATTCTGTTCCTTTGAGTTCTTAGTAGACATGGTAGACACAGGGTATAAATTGCCTACATTGACCAAGAGATAAAAAAAAATTGTTGAAGAAATTTGTACAGCTGTAAATTTTTCATTAAAATACAACAACTTTTGAAAAGAAAAAACGTATAAAATCATGTAAATATAAAAAATGTCACAAAAAAATAACTTATTGAACAAAGGACTATTTAACATTTTTCTCAACAAGGTATGTTTTAAACAAATCTGAATTAGAAGAGAAATGAGATAATTCATTTCAATTATATAATAAGTTTACAGGAATACAAATTAATTATGACCATTTACTCTATTGAATATGTGTGCTAAAAAATATGTATAAATATAAAACAAATAACACAAAAAAATTACAGACATAAATATCACAAAATAGATGTACACAATAAATATAGTCTTTATAAAAAAAATATAGAAAAAATATAAATAAATTTGTACTAAAAAAATTTTTGGACATGCTTATTTATTTCATAAGATTTAAAAAAAGAATTATTGCACCTATATAGAAATATGATACAAAAGTCGGTTAAGACTTCAACTTTGAGATAATCAAAGTAAATTCATATTGAGTTATGTCCCTTTATCCCATAAAACATCATTATTTTTCACTTTTTCAGTTAGTCTGATGATTTTCATTTTTGACATGCATAAGTTTGTTAAAAGTATGAAGGTAAAATAGTCAGTCATTATGAAACTGATTTTTGACCTAACACTTGATTGATATTGCCAAATTGGACTTGATTTTATCAACATTAGTGATTGAATTTCATTTAACCATTTATCAATAAAAAAGTGACAAAATTATCAGGCAATGTTAACAATTATTTATTTATTGTGAAACATATAATGTATGTAATTGGTCATAAAAATGAAGTCCTTTTTTATAGAATAAATCTAAATTCTATAATATTCATACACATAACAATAATAATTACCCATAACATTTGAGCAAATATCATGAAACTTATTTTGGCATATGTATAGTATTTCTTCGACTATTCAAACCAAAAAGATTAATTATCATGTGAATCACAATAACTTTACAATATCTGTTCTATAACTTTATTAGAACAATAACATGTGACAAATGATACTTCTAAATACAGGTAAGTGTCAAAAATAAAGCACCAAAATAATTCTACTATACAACTGAATGTTGTTGTTCATTCAAAATGAAAGCAAATGACAAATCATATTTCTGACTAAAATGTGATTCTTTCTATGCTTTCATTTTGAATAAATTAAAAAAAAAGAAAGAACAGCATTAAACTTTGGATTTACAGATCTTAGAAATTATATTTGTTAACAGTTTGAATCTGAAAGATATTAGCTTTAACACAAAACTCATCAGACAATTTATAGCATTATGATAGCAGTATTATCTCAGGTGAAATCTGACAATTGTAAAATCTTAAAGGTAAATTCTTCAGCCAGTACATCAACAATCAATTTTTTTCTAAAATGATGTTGCATGAGTAAGATAGCAGAGCTATTTCTATTCTTGGTTGCTTATACATAAATTGGAACCCTATGATGGATTGAGATGATTTCTCTTGCAGTCATTTAATATGTCTGAAATGAAGACCTATTGTGAATATGTGAAAATAATGATTTAAAGCATTCTAAAAACCTTTAATAGGCATAAGTAAAAAAATATTTTCTGTTACAAATTTGTTCAAATGCATTATATTTAGTAAAAACTAAGTGCAATATATCTTAGATCAACTACAAACATTTTAAATGGTCCTAACTAAGATTATGTGTAATTTTTCATGTTAATTTGCTTATAATATGCAAAAATCTAATGGTTTATATTTAATTTATTCATAACCTTGATAGAATAAGAAAATTTAGAGCCTGACATTAAAGGGATGTAAATAATGTAAGTCTTATGAAAAATGGACAATCTGCACTGCTTTTGTTCAAACATTTTCCATGAAAAAAGTTACACTGAATACTTATAAATTTCCTGACTAAATCATATAATGTTCCTCCCTTCTTTTCTGATAACCCTTTAACAATATTTGAGACTGTGCACAACAACAAAAATTCATATGAACATGTAATGGTAGAATATTATATGATAAATTATCTTCCAGCTTTAGGAACAAGTGTCATTTTAGCTGAGCTTGCAAATATTTGAGACATCTGACCTTGAGATTTTCTAAGAATATGTTTAGCTTCAGTAGTTGTTGCTCTTGGTGGTGGTCTAGGAGATTTTCGCATTTTACTTCCTTCATGCATGAGCCGAGACATACGCCCTCCTTTATCAAGATTTGCCATTCCTGATGCCTCCTCTTTAACCCTTGGTTCTGGTCTTGGAGATGCTCGCTGGTGGCCATAATCATACTGTAGAGCTTTCATTGCATTTCCTTTTCCTTTCTCAGCATTTTCAGATGCTTCTGGTTTGACACGGGGCTCAGGTCTATCAGACAAGACACCAGATGCATACTTGTACTGATTCTTCATCATCCCTCTACCTTCCTTGCAAGCAATACCTGCAGCCTCTGGCTTGACTCTAGGAACTGCTCGAGCTGATGCAGGCAACTTTTTTGGATCATGCAGAAGACATTTCATATTATTTCCTTTGTGAGGTTCATAAGCACCCTCTGCTTCTGGCTTAATTCTAGGAGCAGCCCTTGCACTCATAGGAAGTTTGCCATACTGGGTAAACAGATTAGATGTTGATTGTCCACTATGACCTCCAGCAATCCCCATTGCTTCAGGACGCATTTTAGGGGCAGGTGCTGGATCCGGTCTAGGTGTTGCAGACCCATTTAATAAATTTGAGACAGTTCCATGCTGTCCAAGTTCATAGTTTCTCATACCTTCAGTTGATGGGCATTTTGGTTCAGGTCGTGGTGTTGGAGCAATTGGTCTTGGAGTCCCACTGCCAAACAGCTGAAGCGATCCTTTATTCTTATCAGCATACTCCTGTGCCTCTGGTTTTACTCTAGGTGGAGCTCTAGGTGTATTGTAATCACCATCTAAGTCAAATCCAGGGTAAGGACAAACCTTTACGTCTTCCCCGTTATCTGGAATGGATGAAAACTTCATTCTGAAAAAGAAAAATTTAATGCTTGATTAATTAGACAATATAAATGTATTTTTCACAGAAGAAAAAGTTTACTTTTGGTTAAAAAACTTCATACTCAAATATAAAGTAGTTATGAATTAATCATATCATTTTTTCCCTTGAAGTCTTTGCTATCCTTTACCCTGATTATTGTTAAAATTTGGTATTGCTCACAGACATCTTCTGCTACCCATCAGTTAGTAGATATATATCCACATTCCACCCTCCATTAGCTCAGTTGGTACAGTGGTGGCTTACTGTGCCTGGGTCCCAGTTTGAATCCCAGCTAGTACAGAAATTAATTTTGGATGGCAAATCATGCTCTCAGGTTACGAAATTGGTGCCCAACAAAAAAAAACCTGTGTTCAGAAGAAATACCTAGCCATACAAGTGATAAAGATGATCATAGTTATCGTCATAGTATAATGACTCTTGAGGTGGGGGAAGTGTAGGGGTGCTTTCCCCTACCTAGTAGATATATAACCACCCTCCATTAGTTGTGCTAGTGAAATACTCCTTTAGCTCAGTTGGTAGAGCATTGGCTTACTATGCCAGGGGTCCCGGGTTGGAATCCTGGCTGGTACAGTAATTTTTTTTTTTAAGGCAAATCATGCTTTCTAGTTACACATATGTGAACTGCAAAAAAAAAAAAACTAATTATAAGTCCTTTTATCAGCAAAATATGAAAAAATGAAGCAAACAAATTCTAAATTTTACTCTGGGTACTTTATAATCTTTTGATCAATAGGCTTCTGTCCAATTTTCATCAAATTCCATGAAGGTTTGACAATGTTATTGATGTCTTTAAAAACTTTAACCACAGATTGAACCTAAATGTTTACACCGCCAATGGAATGTAGGATCACTATGTCTCACTTCCGCAACTGTTGCAGGCTCGAAAAAAAAAGGATGATTGAAATATGTATGTCTGTTTATTTAATTCACATTAGCTAGAGGTTTAGGGGGAGGGTTAAAATCTTACAAAACATGTTCCACCCTGCCACATTTTTGCTCCTGTCACAAGTCAGGAACCTCTAGCCTTTGTTAGTCTTGTGTTTTTTAAAACTTTTGGTTCATTTGTATGTTTCGGAGTTTAGTGTGGCGTCCATTTCGCTGGACTAGTATATATTATTGTTTAGGGGCGAGCTGAAGCCTGCCTCTGAGGAGGGATTTTCTTTCTGCGTTGAAGACCAATTGGTGGCCTTGGGCTGTTTTCTGCTCTTTGGTCGGGTTGTATCTTTTACACTTTTCCCATTTCCATTCTCTATGCTATAGTATAGGAATTCTCATATAAGTTATGTAAGGAAAAAAACACCATACACTAAATCAGTCTGGAATCTACTATAATGTATACAGTTTGAAGTCTTTGTGGTCCAAAACAGATATTCAAAACATTATCTCTTTAATGAGCTTTTGAAAGACTTGTCAGGCTGTGTATCTTCAATACAAATTTAATTCCTGTTTAAAATATTATTCAGATGTGCCTGCTGAAAGACAATCGAGAACAGCTATCCATCGCTTTTCGGAGGTATCCTGTTCTTCTGATGATGTTTGTCCCCATAATTTCAGTTTTTGGATATCAGCTGCATAATTTCCACAAATTGGCTATGTAACTAACCGAAATCCACTCTACTACTGCCAAGGAAGAATGGATACTGCTCAAAGCTTTATGTATAGAGAAGCGAAAGTAAAATTTTCAAAATTTGCCTGTGTCAATATCTTAAGTTAAAAAAGTTATCCACTTTCAGGTTTAGTTGCAAAACTTCAAACAACAGTGTCAGTGCACCTGATAGATTTTTACTTCAGGCAGTGCAATAATTTAATAGTAAGAATACTTTATAAATATATCAGATGTATTTGATCTTTTGGTAGTGCCTTTGTAGGCTTAACTTGTTTCTTCTCCCATTTTCGGTTATTGTTCCAAGACCACAATAATTAATGCTTTTGATTTTGGAGGTGTGCACAACTACTTTAAAAGTATTTTTGTTGTTGAACTCTTTTCTACTAGCATTTTTTGCAAATCAAAAGAAAAAAGTGCAAAATCTAAATATGCAAAAATCAAAATTATGCATCTAATTATTATGGACAAAATGGTTCATTAAACAAATTAAACAAGAGTGCACATGTTGAAATGTCTCACCTGCTTTACTGACCATTGATACTGTTGAAAGTCCAAGATAAAGATTTTACTATGAGTATCACATAAACCTAACTTTTATAGGGATCCATCACAATGAGGTCAAGGTCAGATAAATCCTGCCAGACAGACATGTACACCTTACCATTAAGGCATTATTCTAAATACAGCTGACCTGTTGCTTATGGTAATTGAAAAACAGACCAACAGGCAACACGTAATTAATTGATTCCAGCCCATTTAGATATTTGACGGACTCTGGTAAACTTTTAAATGAAAGATGTCATTCCAAATTTATTTATGTTTTTGCCTATTGAGGCTATTCCCAGCCATTCTAAACATGTAAAGATGCATTGAAGCTTGATTATAGCTTGACATCAGACGAAAGGTAAAATCTAGGTTAAAAACAGTACAGGGGGGTCAATGATTCGTTTGAACTTGAAGTGGTAACTAATCATTAATGCAAGTAAGTACATTACTTTGTAAATTCTTGGGTCCACCGTCAAGTTTCTACGGTAAACAATCGCAGGATATAGTTCCGGTTTCGTCGTCACTTCCTTTTCCTGTTTAGCGGTCATTCCGATTTTCCAGTTGGGGCCTATCAGAACTGGTATGAATGTGTGGTAATTTTTCTTAACATAAGGAAATCTCACAAAACTGAATAGAAATCTTAACAACACAGGCACTGGTCTCTGTAAAAAATATATCTTCATTTTAGTAAAACGCTAACGGGCACCTGTCACTTGAAATTGTAGACAACTCGCCCCAAGACCAGCTCGTCTTCTACTGCCTCGCCACCACTTTTCTTACACTCAGCCCAAATTTTTAAAGAACTCTCGCCTCTGACAAATTTTTTATTTTTACCTGCCTTCCTTGCCTGTTCCAAAAATGGTGATCGTTCTGAAAAAAAAAAACTACAAACATTCCCCTCCGATAATTGAGAACAAAGTTGTCATAACAGTAGAAAAATCAATGAGGGTGGTAAAGGGTTATTTTCGTGCAACGTTTTTCGGCCTTTTTATTTCACGTGTTTTCGTGTTTTGACGCTTTATTTCTGGCTTTCTCGTTTTTGATTCAATGTGCATGCTTCGTGTTTCCCCTTATTTTTTTTTTCCGTGTTTCATGTCGGTACTCTTTATTTCTTGTGCTTGTCCCACATTTGATTAAAAAGTTAATCGAGACTAATTCAAAGTCAGCCCGGATATTGTTTTAAATTATGTATTAATGAACTGAATATTAATTGCTCTCTTCATTAATAGCTTATAAGTACTTAAATAACAGTATCAACAAGTTGAAATGGAGGAAAATTCAAAACAGATTGTTGAATGCATTACATACTTCTATAACAGCAGTGATAGCAGTAAACCGCCTTTAGCAAAAGAAAGGCAACGGGTAGAGGTTAGCATCTGAATACAAACCTGAATCGGAGTATGAATCCGACGAGGATGAAGCTATGCCAGTTACTGAAACTGACCTTCTCAATAGCAAACCTGATTGTCTTTCATTCATGCTTGGTTTTTCGGTCTAGAAGTGGAAGATGCATAAGTGTCTCCTCAAAATTTGATTGAATTTGAGGATTATTGTTACCTTGTAAGGCTTTTTAAACAAAACTGCCAATTGGTTCTGATCAAGTTTTGTGATGACTTTTGCTTAGTACATGGTCCCATCGTACATATTTTGACCAACTATGAGCGCACAAAATAATACCCCAAGATATGCAATCAAAAGTTTGTGGTTTCTTCTGAATATGCGAAGCAGGTACCATCGTGAGAATTCACGCTTATGTGTATTTATATATGTTATGATATCTTCTGAAACTTGTGAAATCTAATAGAACTTGATGTATATTGTGAGCCCATTTAATGGAAATAAAACATCTTCCATGTAATAGAGGATAGGAATGCCCTTTATTGTCAAGCGTCAAACGTCCGTTTTTCGCTACCATCAGTGTCAAATGAGCCATAATTTTTTATCGTCATTTGGCAAATCACATTTTGTAGCTACCATTAGCATCAAATGGATTAAAATGTCTATCGTTAACATTATTTTAACAAATATTTTCCGACATTTGTCATGTGGGTTACCCCATTCCTACCCTCGTAATAGTGCAGTCTTTGTAAAGTGTAGTTTTATTTGAATTTCTTTTATTTCCGTTGGCAAATTAAATTTAATCTGATTTTAAAGATCAGTTAAATTAATTGTACCATTACAATTTGTTGTGCTAGATGATAACTGTGTGTCATGAAAATTAAACAATGACATTTGCACCAAGATTCTCACTCCTAAAATTTACAATATCCTTCATAAATCTTCCTATGAAGTCAGTTATGTTTGAGAACAAGTGTATATAGTATAGTTTATTATTATCCATTGTTTTAGTTCAATGATTCTAAATGTTTTTATCTGAAATTTTCATAGATATCCTTGCAACATATATGAATTGAGATTGTCTCCCTTTGTCCAGTTAAGACTGGTGGTGAAATTTAATGTATGCATGTTTATATGTGTCTATGATTTAATAGTAAAAAAATCAACAATTACAAAGTGACTTTTTTTTCTGACACAGGTGTATCTGACTTCTATTGAACAGAAGCCTTCAGTTGACAGGTCACTTTTACCAAGTTCATAATGCTTCAGGCATTATATACCCATAGAAAGGTTAATGAAGAATTTTCCTTCCAAGGGTCTAAGTTATATGTTAATCTGTTTTGACTTTTGTAAATACTAAACAATAAGCTAAAATATTCAGATTGGTACAAGATAACTAAAAAGGACAGTAAAAGATCAGTAATATAAATAAAAGGCAATATTTCAATAACTTCAGACACCAACCTGAAGAAAAATTACCAAAAGATATTAATCTTGAAGGAAACAGTTTTCAGCAATAAATAGACATTTACATCATGTTCATGAGCTATGTATACAAAATGTCCAGCTCTAAATATAAGCTGTGAATAGATTGAAACAGTTTGCATTTTGTGTTTAATGATTTTTTAATACAAATATCATTTCAATATTATTTTCTTGATATGTAACTCATGGTTTTCAGTATTATGAAGCATTAAAGATGAGGTTAAGAATTCCACATTTTTAGGAGTGGCAAGAAGACAGTTCTGAAAAACTGATTAAACTTTATTTAAGTAAAGCCTTCTGTCACCATTTAAATGTTCTTTTCTAAACAAAATGAAGTATCTGTATATAGATTTAGATTTCTTACTTCATTTTTTTTTTTGGAGGGGGGGGGGGGGGGGGGAGGGGGAAGGGGTCGGGATGTGGGTAATGAGTTGATGAATTGTAGACTCAGTACCATTAAAGCTATATCAAGCTTCAATGGGACTATCTGTATAGAAAATGAGAGTCAAGGCTGGTTTTTATGAGTCCAGGACTCATGGACATCTCTTACTGAGAACCTTTGTACATGTAGCTAAATCAACTCATGGACAGGGGGTCACATTGTAGAACACATGGACTTCCCCTTTTGTTCAAATTTATCTGTTACTGTTATCTGCTTCTTTACAAAAATAAAAACAAGCCAGTAGAAAATATGATTTATTTCCCAATAAAATGCAACTTCAACATTTGTACACCATGAAATATAAAAGCTTTTTTTGTCTTCAAAAGTTAAAATTTTCACTGTTTAATCAAATATTTTCTTGTTCCTCATAACAAAACGAATAGAGAATGCAATCGTTGAAGCCTTCTGAGCTATTGTCAAGGTGAAATGCAGCTTTAAAAGTGTTTTTCTCGGACATATATTATTGATTATTTTCTATGAGTTTTCATCTAGTATATACATTCAACATATATCTTTATCCTTTCATTTCTGATGTATGTTTTTTACCTTGAGTGAGAGGATTGACTCCACCCCAACTGTTACATATGAGAATTTGTTTTGTAGACTTTCATACTTAATACACCACAGTATTACTGAATTTGGTTATTGAATAATATTGAATTATTAATTGTTTGTGAAGATCTGTATAAGTCTGGAGAGTCTGAAGAAGTTAATTGAGATACTTAACAGCATATAATTTGTCTTATTGTGTCAGACCGTGAGATAATTAGACAGTCCAGAAGTGATAAGAGTTTTTTTCCTGTTAAGATGGGAAGTTATAGATCATTAGATAGTCATGATAGTCCAGAAGAGTTTTCTTTAGTTAGGATGGACAATCAGACCATTAAACACTCTGAATAAGTAGACTTCTTGCTGAGGGACAGTTTAAAGTATTAAGCAGATCAAAGTGATAAGTGGCCAACATGAAAATGGACAATTAAGATTGTCATCTCTTTATAAAAAGATTATTGCATAATTGTTTTCTAATTACTTTTATATTTTATGTTGACATTGCTATTAATTTTTTTATTGATCCCCAGTTACATAAGATTTGACTTGTCTCTCCTTGGAACAAATTATTTATCTTGACATTGAACATTGAATATGCTAAAGATTGGATCTTATTATGTTATCAAGGTTATATATGTAGCATAGAATAGAGAATGGAAATTAGGAATTAGTTGAAGAGACAACAACCTGACCAAAGCCACCAATGGGTCTTCAACACAGCATTAAAATCCTTCACCGGAAGGCGGGCTTCAGCTGGCCACTAAACAATAATGTATACTAGTTCAGCGAAATGGACGCCACACTAATCATTGAAACATACACATGAACCAAAATTTAAAAAAAACATACAAGAAGTTTACTTTAAAGCAATTTATGTGTATCCTTACAGCTTTCACAAGTACAGTACAAATAAATTCAAGTTAACTGGTGAGAATTTTTAGCCCTTAGTATATTACTTTTAAGCAAGTGTAGTGTAATATATTTCCAACACCCAACTCCAATGATGACTTACTATCTCATTAATTAGATTTAGGAAAAATCAAACACCTGATAAATCAGACACACTAGTATGAAAATATTTTCATTTTGTAGCTGTGACTTGTGTAATAAGTAGTTTCTGATACAAAAAAGGCATATTGTTCCAGTTGCATACTTTTGACCTAAGAACAATGTATGGCTCCATGTCCATGATGTCACTTACAAAAAAACATGATCTTTTTTAAAAATCAGGAACAATTGTTCATGGATACCTGGAGCCTCTTGTTAAGAAGTGAGTAAGCCAGTAAGTACATTGCCCATTTGTACTTTACAAAAAACCTTTTTGCTCTATTAAGGTTATCATTAGATTTCTCATGTTTGAATTGTATTGAAATTTTATTTTTTTTATTTCTCTATACATAAAATTGAGAATGGAAATGGGGAATATGTCAAAGAGACAACAACCCGACCAAAGAGCAGACAACAGCCAAAGGCCAGCAATGGGTCTTCAATGCAGCATGAAAATCCTGCACCCGGAGGTGGTCCTCAGCTGGCCCCTAACTAAAATTGTGTGCTAGTTCAGTGAAAATGGACATCATACTAAACTCCAAAACATATAAATGAACTATTTCTATGAAGTGGTTGAATGACCACATTAATATGCGAATCACAATAGGTGATGACACTCCTATTTGTAGCAGACAAGATAAAAATAGCCACAGGGTATATATTTTTTCTCCATATTTAATTATTCACATTTAAATTTACAAATCTTGTTACAAATACGATCCATACAATATGTTTTGTACATGTACCTGAGTGAGTAATTCAATATCTTGTGTAGGATGTGAAAAAAAGACTGAAGTTTTTAATTACCTGGATATGTACATGCAATTGATTTCTTTTGCAGGTATGGTTAATTTATGTGTTTTATTTAAAAAAAGATATATATATTATATTTTCTACATAAAAAAATTGGTCACACACAGGAATATCTTAAAAATCTTTATTTTGTTACAAAAAGGGCAAGTCAGTAAAATAAATGTTTTGTCGATTGTACTTTTTCAGCTGTAAAAATTATTCGATGCACCATTAGTAGGGATACATTTGAAAGAGTTAAATGATTACTGTAGTTCAGAATTTTTTTCTCATATGAATCCTTTTTTTGTCACAATCTAGTTCCATTTATTCTGTGTTTATTGGTTTAGTTTGTGCAGTTATATTTGGACATTTAAATAATTTATAAAATGGTGGTTTCTGCCATGCCATTGATGAAATGTGTTGTCTTCTTTAATTACATTATTATTTCCTTTTATATGTATGTTAGTTTTGGTTGTTTTTGTTGGTTTTAAACCTATGATTATATATATCAATCAAATGTCACCATTGTTATCCTTTGAAGTTTGTATCAATTGATTGATGTTTGAATGGCAAAACTGGGCTTTACCAGTTCTTTTTGTGTTGTGAGAACATTTGTTCTCACACAGCATGCAACAACTCCAAAGCTAGCAAATTGATTTCAGTTTTCTTCATCTGTATAACTTCTTTAGAACACTGAACATTGCTTTTTTTAAAGCCAATCTTTCCATTACTGCTGTTAGGTACTTTGATTAATCCAACTGATGCATCTGTTTTTGAACCTTCATCAGCTTGAAAATATAAAATGAAATTTGGTCACAATATTGCAGTTATTCTCTCCAGATATTTTATATCACCTGAAGAAAATTAACAATTCTCTAATTCTGATATATCTGATGTTCTATTATCTCAATACATGTACATATTGTGCAGTTAACATATACTGTAAAACCGACCCGGTTTCATTTTGATTGAAACTGGACAGATATGATCATGCACTGCCATTGTCATGTAGCACAAGGAAGGTATTTTTTGCATTTTTCTTTTTATTTCTTCTCTCCTTGAATGAAATAGACCGTTAATTATTTCAGATAACTAAATATTTTCATAATGACATGAACATAATTAATGATAAAGTACATCACCCATGTGTTTATAGTGAAGTTCATTTAGGGGTTTGACCTCAAAATTTATTTATTTCCCTTTTGCAATCTTAAATGGACTTTCGTTTTTTATATAGATTAGATCGTTGGTTTTCCCGTTTGAATGGTTTTACACTAGTAATTTTTTGGGGCCCTTTATAGCTTACTGTTCGGTGTGAGCCAAGGATCCGTGTTGAAGACCATACTGTGACCTATAATGGTTTACTTTTATAAATTTTGACTTGGATGGAGAGTTGTCTCATTGGCACTCATACCACATCTTCTTATATCTATTTCAACATGATAATAAAAACTCATAATACTAGAGAAAAGAATCCATTGATAGTTCATGTAATTTCAAGGCTAAATTTGATGTTAGAGGAAAGAAAATTTACAAGATAATCCCTGACAATGGTACATCATGGAGCATCCATGAGTAAGGCAGTACATGATGTATCCAGGGTTTTGTTCATGTTTATATTTAAAAACGCCTATTATTCTTATACTTTTTGAACTAAGAAGAAGTTTTACAAGATTACGTATTTCTTCACATAGATTACAAATAGAACTGGGTAGATATCAAGGTATTCCCCGACACAGCAGAATATGTAATAAATGTACATCCAGTACCTGAGTACTGTTGAAGATAAGGCTCATTTTCTTTTTAATTGTACAAATTTTAAGATTGAAAGAGATGATATGTTGTCTAGCATTGCAAAAGTTAATACTTATTTTAATAATTTGAACAGTCAAAACAAAATCATTTGGCTTTTTAGTGTATAGAAAATGTTGATTTACTGAAAATAATATGTAATTTTATATACAAACATCTTCCTTAAGATTATTATATACAATGTACATAGTTTTTACATGTTTCAAATTTTGGCTGTATTTACAAATTTACTTATTGATTTAAGCATCAAACAAAATTTTACTAGCCTTTAAACAAAAATTGAAATGGAAGATATATAAGATATATACTGGTGTCAACTGCATTCAAGTTACCTATGTTGCTACCTTTTATGCTTTTGATAACGTAGGATAAATACATTTTCCAGATACATTTTTAGCATGATAGTCAGTCTTTAAGGTATCATTCCTTGGTGTAAGCTGCATTTACCCGGTAGTATATACTACACTGCTATCTTACTTGCTGCTGACACGGGAGGACTGTAAACATGCTGAATCTTCTAGACTTTATATATATCTGTCAGTCAGTCCCCTGGTGTCAGCTGCATTTAGGATATACCACACTGCTATCTTACTTACTGATGACACGGGAAGGACTGTAAACATGCTCAATCTTCTAGACTTTATATATATCTGTCAGTCAGTCCCCTGGTGTCAGCTGCATTTAGTATATACCACACTGCTATCTTACTTGCTGATGACATGGGAAGGACTGTAAACATGCTGAATCTTCTAGACTTTATACATATCTGACAGTCAGTCCCCCGGTGTCAGCTGCATTTAGGATATACCACACTGCTATCTTACTTGCTGCTGACATGGGAAGGACTGTAAACATGCTGAATCTTCTAGACTTTATATATATCTGTCAGTCAGTCCCCCGGTGTCAGCTGCATTTAGGATATACTACACTGCTATCTTACTTGCTGATGACACGGGAAGGACTGTAAACATGCTGAATCTTCTAGACTTTATATATATCTGTCAGTCAGTCCCCTGGTGTCAGCTGCATTTAGTATATACCACACTGCTATCTTACTTGCTGATGACACGGGAAGGACTGTAAACATGCTGAATCTTCTAGACTTTATATATATCTGTCAGTCAGTCCCCTGGTGTCAGCTGCATTTAGTATATACCGCACTGCTATCTTACTTGCTGATGACACGGGAAGGACTGTAAACATGCTGAATCTTCTAGACTTTATATATATCTGTCAGTCAGTCCCCTGGTGTCAGCTGCATTTAGTATATACCACACTGCTATCTTACTTGCTGCTGACACGGGAAGGACTGTAAACATGCTGAATCTTCTGAGCTAGACAACTTTATATATATCTTTTATTAACAAGTCTAATTGAAAAGAACGTTCAAACCTATGATTGCGTTTGATAAAAACCGCAATTTTTATACGTGTGCATGCAAAACAAATTTCTTGTTAGAGGGGTCTAAATACAGCACAAACAACATTTTCCAAAAGACCAAAAAAGTGAAAAAGTATATTTTAACAAAACGCATTATTAACTATATATTATTATTTTGTTTTTATCAATATTTATAATTACAGTATATAATTATAAACCTAATATCAACCACACTTGCATTGTGTATTATAAAAGCTTGAGCGGCTTAAATATTTATTTAAGAAAGTGTATATATCACATGATTTTATCGAATGTTATTTGTGTTATTCTCAAATTATAATGTTATTGTCATGTCAACTGTTTATGATAGTTTATGCCCTTTGGGATCCTTAATTGGAATAAAATATTCTTTTTATGCCCCCGCCGTAGTGGAGGGGACATTAAGTTTTACCCTTGTCCGTCTGTATGTACGTCCCAAAATTGGTTTCCGTTCTCTAACTTTAGTTTGCCTCAACCAAATGTTATGAAACTTATACACAATGCTTATTACCACAAAACACAGATCAAGTTTGAATTTTGGTGGCGTCACCTTTACTGTTCTAGAGTTATGCCCCTTTACAAATGGGAAAATTGCTGAATTTTTCGTTTCCGTTCTTTACATTTAGTTTACCTCAACCAAATATTATGAAACTTATGCACAATGCTAATTACCACAAAATACAGATCAAGTTTGAATTTTGGTGGTGTCACTTTTACTGTTCTAGAGATTACAAATGGAAAAATTGCTGAATTTTTCGTTTCTGTTCTCTAACTTAAGTTTGCCTCAAATAAATGTTATGAAACTTATAAACAAAGCTTATTACCACAAAAATCAGATCAAGTACAAATTGGGTAGTGTGACTTTTACAGTTCTTGAGTTATGTCCCTTTATAACGTTATATGCAAACGTGGGCATCATCAGTGTCCCATGGACACATTCCCCCTTTATTTTCTTCTTAAAATACTTGTTTCTTACATCTAACCTTCATGCTGAAAAGTAAGGACAATCTATACTTATATTTAGTGAAACAAAGTTGTAGAAATTCTTTTGATTCATATCATTTTTGACAATTTAAACAAGTAAAACATGACATTGAATTGCTAAACCTGCCCATTAAGTTTAAATCTGAAACAAATTCTGGTGAGTTCAGAAATTCTCGATAAAACTAATAGGATTGAAATAATATGAAATAACGATTTCCTGACAGATTTCCTGACACACACTGCAAGTATACAGCAATGCATGATTGTATCTGTTTTGTTTTAACAATATAATACAGATCGGTTCATTGTGCAGTGTGATTTGCCATATATATATAACTGTTTATAATCTAGAAATGGATCTTAGGTTTGATTACCCTGGTATTTAACATTATGCTGTTATGACATCAGATTTTTTTCTTACATGAATCAAGCCTTTCAGTAAGAGCTGATACTCTTTACTTTAGCTGTTCACCGATTTAAATCAAAACCCAATGTGATTTATATCACTAAAACATATATTCAAATTACAAAAGTCCAAAAGAAACTATAAACAATGCATGGATTTGGTATAATGTGTCAGCATTTTGTGTGTAGTTTAGATTAGACACCATCTTATTATCCATGGAGATGATATGACCGAAAACTTCCAAAGGTCATATAACCCTATATAATCATAAATATAAATATAAAAAGTAAATAAACAGACAAGCACATGCCATCATAACAAAACAATTTTTCTAGGTCTGTTTGGTTTCATTTTATAGATTAAAAAGATATGTTTGGAATCGTTTTTTCCTTTATAAGAATGATTATTTGTGGCAGGATCAGTCAACA